GTATGCAGTAGGGTACAGTTATTTATCTGCTTTCTAAAATCAGATGGCTGTGATAGCCATCTTGAATTGGACTGGCTCTGAAAATGAATCAGCTTTAGATGTACATCCAATTCAATTCAATTCAGTTTATTTATATAGCGCCAAATCACACCAAAGTTGTCTCAGGGCACTTTACAGAAACATTCACATACATAAAAGCCAATTAGTAAAATTCTCTATCTAAGGAATCCAGCAGACAAGTTGAATCTTGGCTTCATTGCAGTCTCCCATCCTGAGCAAACACAGTGGAGACAGTGGAAAGAAAAACTCCCTTTAAAAGGAAGAAACCTCCAGCAGAACCAGGCTCAGGACAAGCGGCCATCTGCTTTGACCGGCTGGTTGAGAGGACAGGAAGGAGAGACAGACGGACACAGAATGGTAGGTCCAGGTATAGGTCCAGGTGTATCTGAAAGACAAAAAAACACATGTTAAGGATAGAAAAAATAATTACAAATACAAAACAGGTTGAGCAGAGTAAGTAAAGACAGTAGCAGAGTGAAAATTGTGGTCAGTTTGTCCTCCAGCAGTCTAAGCCTATAGCAGCATAACTAAGGGACAGCTCAGGAAACCCAAGCCAACCCTAACTATAGGATTTATCAAAAAGGAAAGTCTTAAGTCTAGTTTTAAAACTGGATAATGTGTCAGCCTCACGGACAGAGATTGGAAGTTGGTTCGACAAGAGAGGAGCCTGATAACTGAAAGATCTGCCTCCCATTCTGTTTTTGTAAATTCTAGGAACCACAAGTAAACCTGCAGTCTGAGAGCGAAGTGCTCTGTTAGGAAAATATGGAACAATAAGGTCTGTAATATAAGATGGAACCAGGTTGTTGAGAGCTTTGTAGGTTAGAAGTAAAATTTTGAATTCTATTCTGGATTTGACAGGGAGCCAATTGAGTGAAGCTAAAACTGGAGAAATATGATCTCTCCCACTAACTCCAGTTAAGACTCTGGCAGCAGCATTTTGGATCAACTGAAGACGTTTTAAAGACGTATTTGGACATCCAGATAATAAACCATTGCAATAGTCCAGTCTAGACGTGACAAATGCATGGACCAGTTTTTCTGCATCATTTTTAGATGTTTCTAATTTTAGTGATATTACGCAGGTGGAAGAAGGCGGTTCTAGTAACGTTTTTAATGAGAGGATAAAAGACATGTCCTGATCAAAAATAACACCAAGATTTTTAACATTAGAGCTGGAGGACAGATTAATGCCATCCAAGGAGGGAGAAAGACTGAAAAATTAATTCCTAAGGTGCTCAGGTCCAAAAACCAAAACCTCAGTCTTGTCTGTGTTCAACAGGAGAAAATTAAGGGCCATCCAGGTTTTTATGTCTTTAAGACATGCTTGTAGTCTAAGTAGCTCATTGGATTCATTGGGTTTAATGGACAAATATAATTGTGTGTCATCAGCATAACAATGAAAATTTATCCCATGCTGTTTAATAACTTTACCTAATGGAAGCATATATAAAGTAAAGAGTATTGGCCCAAGCACTGAGCCCTGAGGAACCCTATGACTAACTTTGGTGTATGAAGAAGATTTATTATTTACATTACAAACTGGAATCTATCAGATAGATATGATTTAAACCATTTTAGAGCCGTTCCTGTAATCCCAATATCATATTCAAGCATGTAGGTGTACATCCAAAAATGCATTTTTAAAAACTTTATTGAAATTCACTCATGACATATATTGCTGATAGACACACACACACACACACACACACACACACACAAGCAAAAGCACAATTTCTTTTGGCCTTTGGCGATGGCGGAAAACAAACCAACCTGATGGTGTTTGAGCAGCTTTCCCTCACATGTTCCTGATAAGAAAACATGAGAAAAGTGTCATTCTTTGAAACAGCCCGTGTTTTTCTTTGAACACATCTGATGCCAGTGTAATTGTTCACAAATGATTTGAGATAAACAGGCTCATTTAAATATGGCAACAAAAACATCTGCTGAGAAATGTTGGCCAGTGTTGACACAGCTGCTGTAAAATCAACAAGTCATTACAGCAACACATCTGCACTGCTTCCTCAAATTTCAACTGTAAATGTGTCACTGAGCTGCGTCTGGACGTCTGGTCCGTGTACATTCAGGCAGTTCGTTTTTTTTCACTTGAAATTTTAAAAAATGAAAAACAAAAACACTTGTTTTTTCATTTTCACGTCTTTAAGACTCCCGCTTTAACTTGCCTTCAGAGAGCTGGAGCATTTAGCTTTTAGTTAGCTTTTGGTCACATTTAGCTAGCATTTTGATACTTTTAGATCTCAGCAATGGTTTTTCTACTTCAGCTTTTAGTTACCTTGTCAATGTCCAGATGCTGCTCAATAATTCAGGTAGAACAATCAAAGTCCAGTCAGGTCCTCTGGACAGATTAAAAAAAAAATCAAAAATAAACACTTGTTGAAACTTTTTATATTTTATCCTTTCGTTTATCTTTATCCATTCAACATTTGTGCAGAAAACCCATTGTGTCA